ATATATATATATATATATATATATATATATATATATATGTCGTACCTAGTAGCCAGAACTCACTTCTCAGCCTACTATGCAAGGCCCGATTTGCCTAATAAGCCTAGTTTTCATGAATTAATGTTTTTTCGACTACCTAACCTACCTAACCTAACCTAACCTAACGTTTTCGGTTACCTAACCTAACCTAACCTATAAAGATAGGTTAGGTTAGGTTAGGTAGGGTTGGTTAAGTTCGGTCATATATCTACGTTACTTTTAATTTCCAATAAAAAAAGGACCTCATACATAATGAAATCGGGTAGCCTTATCATTTCATAAGAAAAAAATTTGAGAAAATATATTAATTCAGGAAAACTTGGCTTATTAGGCAAATTGGGCCTTGAATAGTAGGCCGAGAAGTGCGTTCTGGCTACTAGGTACGACATATATATACATATATATATATATATATATATATATATATTTTGGTAGCAGTCTTTCCTGTAGATATATATTATTAAATATGACCGAAAAAGTAAGATTAATAATTCAAACACGAATTTTCTCAATCTTTCGTACATTTCTTTTCACTGTTGGAGGTAAATCAAAAATCAATTCTCCAAAATTCATTTTTATTTCTAGTCTGACGCGACACGAGCGCGTTTCGTAAAACTTATTACATTTTCAAAGACTTTAGTTTACAAATATACAACTGAATAGAACTTACGCATCTCCGATTTTATATCTACATTTGAGTGAGGTGGATGGGGTGAGGTGGCATTAATAGGGTATTAATTTCATCAACACAAGACAGAACAAGAGGTGGCATTAATAGGGTATTAATTTCATCAACACAAGACAGAACACGAAACAATGGGTATTGAATAGAAGTGTTTGTAGAAAGCCTATTGGTCCATATTTCTTGATGCTTCTATATTAGAGCGGAGTCTTGAGGTGGGTAGAATATAGTTGTGCATTAATTGGCTGTTGATTGCTGGTGTTGACTTCTTGATGTGTAGTGCCTCGCAAACGTCAAGCCGCCTGCTATCGCTGTATCTATCGATGATTTCTGTGTTGCTTACTAGGATTTCTCTGGCGATGGTTTGGTTGTGGGAAGAGATTATATGTTCCTTAATGAAGCCCTGTTGCTTATGCATCGTTAAACGCCTAGAAAGAGATGTTGTTGTCTTGCCTATATACTGGGTTTTTTGGAGCTTACAGTCCCCAAGAGGGCATTTGAAGGCATAGACGACGTTAGTCTCTTTTAAAGCGTTCTGTTTTGTGTCTGGAGAGTTTCTCATGAGTAGGCTGGCCGTTTTTCTGGTTTTATAGTAAATCGTCAGTTGTATCCTCTGATTTTTGTGTCAGAGATACAAAAATCAGAGGATACAACTGACGATTTACTATAAAACCAGAAAAACGGCCAGCCTACTCATGAGAAACTCTCCAGACACAAAACAGAACGCTTTAAAAGAGACCAACGTCGTCTATGCCTTCAAATGCCCTCTTGGGGACTGTAAGCTCCAAAAAACCCAGTATATAGGCAAGACAACAACATCTCTTTCTAGGCGTTTAACGATGCATAAGCAACAGGGCTCCATTAAGGAACATATAATCTCTTCCCACAACCAAACCATCGCAGGAGAAATCCTAGTAAACAACACAGAAATCATCGATAGATACAGCGATAGCAGGCGGCTTGACGTTTGCGAGGCACTACACATCAAGAAGTCAACACCAGCAATCAACAGCCAATTAATGCACAACTATATTCTACCCACCTCAAGATTCCGCTCCAATATAGAAGCATCAAGAAATATGGACCAATAGGCTTTCTACAAACACTTCTATTCAATACCCATTGTTTCGTGTTCTGTCTTGTGTTGATGAAATTAATACCCTATTAATGCCACCTCTTGTTCTGTCTTGTGTTGATGAAATTAATACCCTATTAATGCCACCTCACCCCATCCACCTCACTCAAATGTAGATATAAAAAAATCGGAGATGCGTAAGTTCTATTCAGTTGTGTATTTGTAAACTAAAGTCTTTGAAAATGTAATAAGTTTTACGAAACGCGCTCGTGTCGCGTCAGACTAGAAATAAAAATGAATTTTGGAGAATTGATTTTTAAATTACCTCCAACAGTGTAAAGAAATGTACGAAAGATTGAGAAAATTCGTGTTAGAATTATTAATCTTACTTTTTCTGTCTTATTTAATAATATATGTCTACAGGAAAGACTGCTACCAAAATATACTAATATATATATATATATATATATATATATATATATATATATATATATATATATATATATATATATATATATATATATATATATATATATATATATATATATATATATATATATATATATATATATATATATATATATATATATAACTAGCCGAGTGCCGGCGGTGGGGTGGTTCATATAGCCTCGGCTATCACCTCATTATGTCCGGTCGTGATGGTCAAGTGGATTAAGGCGTCTTGTACATACCAGTTGCGTTGATATATATATATATATATATATATATATATATATATATATATATATATATATATATATATATATATATATATATATATATATATGTATATATATATATATATATATATATATATATATATATATATATATATATATATATATATATATATATGTTGTGCCTAGTAGCCAGAATGCACTTCATGGCTTACTATGCAAGGCCCGATTTGCCTAATAGGCCGAGTGATTTTCTTTTTTCAAAATATTATTTCCAATTGGTTTATTATTATATTATAATAATTCTCTATAATAATATTAATTATTATATTACAATAATTATTATAATAATTAATAATTATATACACATAAACTCCCTGTATATGTGTATATATATTTATATATACACATATACAAGGAGTACCACCTCTGAAGTAATTGTAGGCACCCATAGCCTCGAAGAAGAAAATAAAGAGTATTCAGAGAAAACCTTGTGTATTTTCACTGGACACTTTAATATTTTCTTCGTCTACCAAGCCTATTTTTTTTTTTATTACATTGCTATAGTTTACATAAAACACACACATATAACAATGACTGTTCGAAGACCTCATCCAGCTCTTCAGAAGATTGGTGCGTGCCCAAGATACAGCACGCATTTCCTCTCTGGATCACGACACTGAGGCGCTGGAACAGGAAACTGGCCGCTCATGAGACTTTAGTTCTCCCATTGAGATCTCCTCCCACCTCCTTTAGGAACTTAAGTGCATATTTACCCCATGCGCCATAGGTTTCAGACCCTATCGGAACGAACCTGTAACAATGTTCTAGGTCTGAGTACTTGTTAGTTTTCTGGGTCTCCCTGAAGGTGGCTGTCCCGCTTCCCTCAACTGTGCTGTAAGGTAGATAGGTATCAGCGAATGTAGACCCACACATGTAGGCCCATATGACCTGCTTACCATTTCAACATGGCTGCGTTCCAATTGAAAGTGCTTTTGCAATTCGTTATTGAAGAAGCCATCTCCATAGTAACCCCTCACTATTCTGGTGCCCTTGGGAAGCGGGAATATTTGAGGTGTATATATACCTCCAAGTCTCTACTTCTTTTAAGGGTCTGAGTGGTGTAGTGGGTTAGGGCGTACTAGTTATGGCAGCTACTGGAAGGTAGTTTTGCTTTCTGGGTTCGAGGCCCACTGGTGGGTGTTGTACAAAGATTATATATATATATATATATATATATATATATATATATATATATATATATATATATATATATATATATATATATATATATATATATGTCGTACCTAATAGCCAGAACTCACTTCTCAGCCTACTATGCAAGGCCCGATTTGCCTAATAAGCCAAGTTTTCATGAATTAATGTTTTTTCGTCTACCTAACCTACCTAACCTAACCTAACCTAGCTTTTTTTGGCTACCTAACCTAACCTTACCTATAAAGATAGGTTAGGTTAGGTTAGGTAGGGTTGGTTAGGTTCGGTCATATATCTACGTTAATTTTAACTCCAATGAAAAAAAATTGACCTCATACATAGTGAAAAGGGCAGCTTTATCATTTCATAAGAAAAAAATTATAGAAAATATATTAATTCAGGAAAACTTGGCTTATTAGGCAAATCGGGCCTTGCATAGTAGGCTGAGAAGTGAGTTCTGGCTACTAGGTACGATATATATATATATATATATATATATATATATATATATATATATATATATATATATATATATATATATATATATATATATATATATGTCGTACCTAGTAGCCAGAACGCACTTCTCAGTCTACAATTCAGGGCCCGATTTGCCTAATAAGCCAAGTTTTCCTGAATTAATATATTTTCTCAAATTTATTTCTTATGAAATGATAAAGCTACCCATTTCATTATGTATGAGGTCAATTTTTTTTTATTGGAGTTAAAATTAACGTAGATATATGACCGAACCTAACCAACCCTACCTAACCTAACCTAACCTATCTTTATGGGTTAGGTTAGGGTTAGGTAGCCGAAAAAGCTAGGTTAGGTTAGGTTAGGTAGGTTAGGTAGTCGAAAAACAATTAATTCATGAAAACTTGGCTTATTAGGCAAATCGGGCCTTGAATAGTAGGCTGAGAAGTGAGTTCTGGCTACTAGGTACGACATATATATATATATATATATATATATATATATATATATATATATATATATATATATATATATATATATATGTGTGTGTGTGTACTAGTAGCCAGAACGCACTTCTCGGCCTACTATGCAAGGCCCGATTTGCCTAATAGGCCGAGTGATTTCGAACGTTTTCTCCGAATGCCGAACGTTTTCGTGTTTCTACACATTATCAATATGTGATAATATGGTGAATCTCAGGAAGCCCATCGGGGCATTCCTGAACCTCAATGGGCACATGTATAACTAAGTAGATGGAGTCGCTATGGGTTCTCCCCTAGGTGTCCTGTTTGCGAATTTTCTCATGTGATCCATAGAGCGGAGAGTCATAGTTAACATGGAATTAAAACATGCCATAAACGGTAAGTATATTCACGACATATTTATGCGGGTACCTGATGTCAGGCGTTTGCAGCAGTTTAAGGAGGCATTTGAGCCACCATTGCTGTGGTCGTGTTCTTGTCATCCTCATGTTCCTCGCCCCCACATCACTGTGGTTGTGCTCTTGCCACTCTCCTTTCATATATCGTCCACCATTTCCACACATTCACTCAGGGAGACTATTGACTTGATATTTGCTTTGAGAGGCAGAGTCATGTTATGATACCCATGTGTGTTACTCTCCATCATCCTATTATATGCGAGACAAAACCATTTTTACGTTAAAAAACAAAAAGTAAATAATAATTGATATGTCCCAACCTTTCAGGAAGCATGTTAAAACTTCGCCTGCAAATGACGGCGTTGACCACACTGCTAGCATGTGCTGTGCCCTTTGACAGTCGAGGGCTGAGTGCCAAGCCCAGGGTAGGTATGGCAAGTACCCAGTTGCAGGTGGGCAGAGCAGGTGTCGAGGAACAGATGGGTGAAGGAAGCGTGGAGGCGGAAGTGGGTGTGGTGGTGGGTCGGGTGGTCCAGCACCATTTTGCTGACTGCCAACTCGTCTTTATCACTACTACACGACAGTCACCTGCGTTTAATAGTATACTCAGGTGAAATATTGATCATATATATATATATATATATATATATATATATATATATATATATATATATATATATATATATATATATAGATATATAAGTGTCGTATATATAAGTGTATATGTATATATATATATATATATATATATATATATATATATATATATACATATACACTTATATGTATATATATATATATATATATATATATATATATATATATATATATATATATATATATATATATAATGCCTTTATAACCTATAATGGATGCTTGTTGTCATGATATGTATGTCTAACAAATGTACAATATAATCTACCTTGTATTATCTTCCATGGTCTTAACACTATATAACGGGACCCTCAGACGCCTGAGTGAGGCCCGCGTGGTAGTAGAGGCAGGGACGGTGACCTCCCAGGACCGTCTCCTCCAGGGCCTGTGGAGTGACCGCAAAACAGCCTGCAGGGCGCTCCTCCTAGACGTGACTGTCAGTAACAACTCGACCTCTGCCCTCGAGTAAGAGATATCGATTTAATATGGTTGACTCTCAAGAATTTGTTTAGGTCCCAGGAAAGTATATTTCCTGGAGAATATTCATGACGTGTATTGTAGACCTTGAGGAGAGGTGAGAGGCAGCAGTGTGATGATTTTGAGAGTGCTAGGAGTGCGTGAGTGAGACTTCTATATGACAGGAGAGCTGGGTCAAGCAGGAGGATGGAATTTAAGAGTAAGTAATTTTCAAATGAAAACTCTAAGCCAGTGTGACGATATAGGGCTCTATCATATCTATCTACATACATCTACTGTGTATGGAGTCTGCCTCCACCACATCAATGCTTAATGCATTCCAGTTGTTAACTACTCTGACATTGACAAAAAAAAATTTATAATGTCTCTGTGGCTCATTTGGGTATTAAATTTCCACCTATGTCCCCCTGTTCGTGTTCCACACACATGCTGAAGAGTTGTCTTTGTCCATCCTAACAGTTCCCCTGAGAATTTTGTAGGTGTTTATGATGTCTCCCCTTACTCTGTCTTCCAGGGACGTGAGATTTAGCTCCCTTAGCCTTTCCTCGTAGCTCATACATTGGTTCTGGGACTAGTCTGGTTGCATACCTTTGAATCTTCTCTCTTTGTCTTGTGTTTAGTTAGGTATGGGCTCAAGCTGGAGCTGCATACTCCAAGATTGGTCTAACATAAGTGGTATACAAGGTCCTGAACAATTCCTAACACAAATTTCTAAAGGCGGTTCTTATGTTGGCCAATCAAGCATATGTCGCTGATGATATCCTTTTGATGTGGGCTTCTGAGGACAGGTTCAGTGTGATATCAACTCCCAGATCTTTCTCTCTGTTTGACTCTGGCAGAATTGCACCTCCCAGATTCTTGTGTTCAGCCATCTGCTCTCTTCGCCTAATTTCATTACTTTACAGTTTCCTGAGTTGAACTTTAGTAGCCATTTTCTAAACCATTCCTCCAGTTTGTCCTGGTCGGCCGGTAGTTTCTGTGTATCTTCATCTGTCTTTATTCTTCTCATAATGTTTGCATCATCAGCAAACATTGAAAGGAATGAGTCTATACCCTCTGGAAGATTGTTTACATATATTAGAAACAGGATGGGTCCAAGTATAGAACCCTGTGGGACACCGCTGGTGACATCTCGCCACTCTGATGTCTTCCCCCCCCCCCCTCACAGCCACACGCTGTTTTCTGTTGCTTAGATACGCCCTTATCCATATGAGCACCTTACCTCATACTCCTGCCTTTTGTTCCAACTTCTGTAACAGCCTCTTATGGGGTACTGTGTCAAATGTTCTCTGACAGTCCAAGAAAATGCAGTCTATCCACCCTTCTCTTTCTTGGCTAATTTTTATTGCTTGGTCATAGAATTCTATTAAGCCAGTGAGGAACGATTTGCAATCTCTGAACACATGCTGGAGGTGTGTTACAAAGCTATTTTCCGCCAGATGTTCTGAGCCTTTTCCTCACGATCTTCTCCATCATTTTGCATGGTATACAAGTTAGGGAAACTGGCCTGTAGTTCAGTGCCTCGTGCCTGTCATCCTTTTTGTGACGATAATCTCTTTCAAGAGAGATTGAGCCTGCTCTTCCCTACAAAATTTACGTCATTCAAGTACAAGATACTATATTGAAGATACGTCCACCAGTATCGCCAAACGTTTTGCCCAGGAAGCAAAGCGTACCTTGCACCACCAGACACACCGGCTCCCGCCCGCCGTCAAACCAGCAAACTACTCATTCTCCGCCTGCCTGTTCCTGATTGGCTGGTGTGTCGCCGCACCTGCACTCACGCCACTACCTGAGTCGACGTCTGGGCCAGCACACGCCGTACTCCTCAGAATATCTCTGTGCTCTTTGGAGTTGACATCTCTCTCTAGTAGACAAAGCTCTGGCTGTCGTGTACTAAGGGAGGTGGCAGCTTGAAGCCAGTATTCTCAGCACCTGATTTGATTTGTATCACTATTACTTGCACTTTATTTTGTCTTAGAGTAAATTTTTACTGCCATTAATTATTCATGTTGTTTTGTTTGTTGACTTGTTTTGAATTTTACGTAAGCCAAGAGATTGTCTTTATTCATATCTTGTTTTCTAGAGTAATTAAAATTTCATTGTTTATACTTTGTGTTTTGTGTGTCTTCCCATTACCTTACCACAGACAAACGGGCAAACGATCTTCTTTTTTTTTCTGTAATGTGACGAGGCCTTGCCCCCAGCTATTGAAACAGCCGAACATCAACACTCCAACACTTTACCGTCACATTTCATGGGGGCCTGTCCACGGAGCTTCACTCAGGTACTGGTACCAGATCGTAAATTTGTGGTAAGCGTACTTGGCTTTGGTAAAGTAGCTTTTCACTATTTTCAATATTCAATTTTATTTTCATATGGTGCTGTGTGTATTGTGCATTCCGAGAGTAGCATATGGTGAAGGTGAGACAACTTTGGATTACGTGGTGACTGTAGGCCTCAGTCATTCTCTTAATTGGTCATCTCTCCCTCCGTGTTATTACTCGTGTTTACCATCTTTTGTCCCTAGGATATTTCTCATATTTTCGGCAGATCATCATATTGGTACCCTGGTACTGTGGTCTGTCCCCGGGTCAAGTGCACCTAATCTTCTGCAATCCGACGGTAGGAGGATAAAGAGGGCCATAGTTCCTCTCGCACGAACTTTAGTTGCTGAATTGGGACCTCAGCAGCAGTTCTCGTCACCAGTTGACACCTCGCACCCCTACACGTCGGTCAGAGATGATGATATTTACATTGGTAGGGAATTAGCCTTCTTTTTCAGAGCACAAAAGTTCGCTAATTCTGTAAGTATCATATTTAATTTCAGTGGGAAAAACTTGCTTATGTCCTATAGAGACTCGGCAAGGTATGCCTACATTCTTGGACTACCTAATTCACTTTTGAGGCAATTAACTGTTTCATTTGTTTTAGAAACTCAGTTTCGCTTATTTAGTAGGATTTTCTTGCCCTTATCCTCTTACATTGAGTACCGGGTACAAGATTTCCTGCGACCTTGATTTATTAATCATTTACCATCTTGAAATTAACATTAATTGTTAACGATTCCACAGGATAGGTACCAGTTGCCACGTTGTCCTGTTTCTGACATTCACCATATCACAACAGTATATTCGTTGTGCATTTATTTGCTAATTTCACCATGTTTCGTCTCCAAGCTTTCCGTGCAGATCCAGCAGGTGAAATAGGGACCTTAAGTCGTGCCAAGAGGACTGAATTACAAACTCTTGCACATGAGTATCAACTAGAAGTTCCCTACCAAGCCAACAAAAATGAACTACATAACCTGTTACTGGATCATCTCTTAGAGGAAGGTAAGATTAACTCTGAAACTCACGAAACTTACTTTATTGCAGATAAACCTGATTTGGCAACTCTGAAACTCAAACTAGAAATTGCCAAGATCGAACGAGAACAGCAAAAAGAAGCAGCAACAAAGGGAAGCAGCTGCCATACGAAAGGAAGAAAAGGAACGAGAAGCTGCCTTGAGGAAAGAAGAACAAGAACGTGAGATTGCAATACTCCGTGAACGTGAGCGAATACAGCTTGAAACAAAACAACGCCACCTGGAGATGCAACGCGAGCATGACAAACAACAAGCAACTCTGGCTATGGAATGTCGTCAACAAGAATTCGCGTTGGAAACTACACACCTCGCTCAACGCCAGCAAGCTACCGCCAGTCTTCCTGTCAGTTTCAATATCTCACATGCAAGTAAGTTAATGCCACCATTCGTAGAGACAGAAGTTGATGTATTTTTCACCACCTTTGAGACCCTTGCTAATCAACTTAGTTGGCCTGCCGACCAATGGGCAACCCTTCTCAGAGTACATCTCACAGGTAGAGCTGCAGTTACACTCAGTACTTTGGCGTCTGAGAATGACTACCAGACTCTGAAACAAGCAGTGTTGGACGCCTACCTTCTCTCCACCGAAAGCTATCGAAGAAAATTCCGTGACCACCTGAAGGCAAGTACCACTACCTTTCTCGAATTTGCTAATACCAAAAGGAGATATTTTATGAAATGGCTGGAAGCAGCACATGTCTCTACCTTTGCAGAACTCGTCAACCTCATGCTAGTTGAAGAATTCTTGAGGCGTGTGCCGCCTCCTGTCCGTTTATATTTAGCAGATAAAGAAGAGACCGACTACCTAAAGTGTGCTAAGTCGGCTGACACTTACAGCCTCATCCACCGGCTGACACCAGAACCATCCTTCCAGTAAGAAGTCTTGGTACAGTTACGAGAAAGTGAGTACCGATCAAGCTGGCTCGCAATTGTACTGTAAGTATTGTAGACTCTATGGACATACCATAGATAAATGTGGTAAGTCTCAATACAAAGGTAATACTGAATCAACTAAACCCAAACAGACTCCTCCTAAGTCCGGTAAGCCTGTGATGAATGTTGGTGTTCATGTTAATGATCTTTCTCTTTTCAGTAAACACCTGTATACTGGAACTGTCTCTACCAACGGTTCAAATCCGGAGGGACGTTTCAAACTGAAGATCTTGAGGGACACAGCGGCTCTTCAATCAATTATTTTGAAATCAGCTGTGCCCAATATCGCCTACACCGGAGAAACCGTCTTCATCACTGACCTCACTGCTACCACTCCTTATCCTCTCGCCAGAGTCCACCTGGATTGTCCCTTCGTGACCGGAGAAGTCCAAGTCGCCATCAGGGAAAAGCCTTTTCCCATGCCTGGAGTGCAACTTCTCCTGGGCAACGACTTGGCAGAAGACCTGCAACCGACCAACCTGATCGTCATGGACAAACCCCAGGTGTGTACCTCTGTAATGGATAATCCCATCTTTGAGTATGTTCCAGCAAAGGTTCAAGAGAGTGATGAAGTTTCTCCTCCGGTTTTAGTGACCACCCGTGCACAAGCTGCACGACCACAGCCAGCTGACTCTACTGCTACCGCTGTCCCTCAAGACCCTCAGAAACTACCCCCGAATCTGACCAA